GTTGCCTATGCCATTTACACATGTCAAATCATTTATATTATTTGTCAGTTTAGACTGCAAAGTCTCTTTTTGATAGCTAGAGTGGTATTGTTTTTGGTAATTGTAGAGGTGTTGGTCGTTGCTTTAATATTATTATTGTGTTGCTAAGTGAAAATGAAGAATTATCCAGGAGAAGAGCGTATTGACATGATTTTCACCCTTGGAGAATGTCATAAAAATTGTTTATTGGCTTGTCGAATTTATGCTCAAAGGTTTCCTGAAAGAAATCATCCTAAGCTAACAGTTTTTAAGCGCTTATTACACCAATTTGAGGAAAGTGGGAGTGTCAATTATAAAAAACCCATTACAAGGAAATCTGTCACTAAATATGAAGAAAATGTTTTCACGGTAATTGGTTCAGTTATCGAAAATCCCAATGTTAGTCAAAATGTAATATCCAAAAGTACTAACATTAGTCAATCAAGTATTTCCAGAATGATCAAAAAGCACAACTTTTGTCCTTATAAAATTCAGCTTTGCCAAGAACTTTATGGAAATGATTTTGAAAACCGAACTGAGTTTTGCATGTGGGTGTTAGATGAAGTGGCAGAAAATGAAAAATTTTTCGAAAATGTGTTATTTAGTGATGAATGTACTTTTCATAACAGTGGTCTCGTGAATAGACATAACTTTCATTATTATTCTGATACAAATCCGCGCGAATGGTTTGATGTTTCTCCAGTTTCTAATAAACCATCTCTCAATATTATTAGAAAGAAGAAGTCCCTTTCAATATTAGAATCAACATGTGGCTTCAATTGGATGGAGCTCCGCCTCATTAGCACTGCGAAGTTCGGCAATTTTTAAATGCCAACTTTCAAAACAGGTGGAGGCCCCCCAGATCTTCGGACTAAACTCCACCAGATTTCTTGTTGTCGGGGTACATAAAAGGAATTGTCTACCATACGCTTCCGACAACTTCACACGATATCAAAACACGCATAGAGACGCTTTTAAAACTGTAACTCCGCAAATGTTGTCCAGAGTTAGCAGTGGTTTTGAAAAAAGAATTTACAAGTGCCTGGAAATGGACGGTCAACATTTGGAACATTTGTTATAAGCCTTTTTTGGATGTCTTGGTGACCAGAAAAGCCAACGGAAAGCTGGCCCACACGGTGTACAGGAAACCGACACATACCGACCGGTACCTGCACAGT